GTTCTTTAAATCTTTTGAGCAAATCTTTAGCTTCTTCCTCTTGGCGAGCATTATAATGTAAACCATCTCTAAAATGTCAACAAGTATCACACAGATCAGCCCTGGGACTCATGATTTGAATTTCTGGTGTCAATTGATGTCATAACTTCCTGAATGCATCATATTTTAAAGATTTCAATTTGTTATCCTCTTCTAAACCAGCAAGAAAATCTCTATATACTGATTTATAACTCATCTCAGCTGGTAAGAATACAATTGATTGAGTTATTCTATTGATACTTCTGCCTGGACTTGGTAATCCATGGACTTCTGCATAATTTTCTAGAAAATTCTTTACTATTTCTGCAACATTTTTATCAATCACCATCTTAGTTTTCCATTGAGGCATTCTTTTAATATTACCATGAATTCTTGGTAGAAAACCATTTTTTATCAGATGATTTCTGATATTTTCAAAATATGTCCTACCAATTCCCAACATATTGAGATAAGTTTCTTGACAAAGAAGTGTATTGTGATCTCAGTGATAGAAAGTCCTTTTATTAGATCTATTTTTCTTTTTAAGATGTCTGCTTGTGCTTGTTAATCCACCATCCATTGCCTTAAGTTGAGCCATTAAAAATATGTCTTGTTCTGATTTAGAAAGAGCTTGAAAGGATTCATGTAACTCTGCAAATTCTTCCTTGGGAATTCTTGAAGAGCAACCACATTTACAACCTTTTTCTAAAAAATCAATGGCTCTTTGATATTCATTAAAACCATATTTATTATTTTTCATATACACTTATCCCTATATATAAGTTTTATAATTTTATATTCACTTTGTAGGTTTTTTTCATGCTATTTTTTCAAAAATCAATTAATCTTTGAGCAAAAGCAAATAAGTATATAATTTTATTATTAAAATTAATACATTAAAATGTAATTAACTATATATATCACTTCTATACAAAACGAAAAATTAAACTTTTAGAAATTACATTATTTTTATGTAACTAAAGTTACAAAAATAAAATAAAAATAATTGTTAATTATCTAATATTATATCATACATAAAAATTTCATAACACACAAAATAATTCTTACCAGTGAAATTTAAGATGACCCATATCAAATTCATCACAAAGCATGTTAAAGAAACATTTATCATGAGACCAATGAAGTGGTTTCTTATCAGAAACTCCACTTGGCCAATTTATTTCATGGTTGATAAATGCTGGGTAGCAATCCTGACCTTCAATACCACACCAATCAAAATTTACAAGTTTTACATGTTGCACACCAATAATGCCCTCTTGAATCATGATGTTACTCTTACAAAGGTCACTAAACATCAGTTTTTTTTCATATAATTTCTGCAAAGCACTGTGAATTTCCTGTAATATTTTCTCATTTTCATCTTTTGTTAATTTGTCAGTAGCATTGAGAAGTGTGCTACCATTGATACAATTATATGCCAACCATATATTTCATCCTTGTTGTAGTACAATAATTGAGGTGCAAATCCATATTCAGCACACAGTTGATGAGCTTCAGCATTGTACTGTTGTGCAAATTTAACAATCAATTGACAATTATCATCATTTGTGTGTACACACCAAAGATTCTTTTCTTCTATTAATTCATCATCATAAGTAAACCTAACAATTTTGTTGTTTGTTTCAAACTTGTTAAAATAAGGAAAAAATTGTTTGCATTATCTAAAGAATGATCTGTTAAATTAAGTTGCTCATAAAATTCCCTTAATGAACAAATAGACTGCTACAAAGCTTCAAGCATCTGTGCTATATGATATAAATAATTGCTATCCTTTGTTTTAATGAGAGGCATAATTGGTGTGAGGGGATCAATAACTGGTTGATCCAAGTACACTGCTCCTGAAATACAAAGCCATGGACCTGCTTTGAAGGGCCTTGGCTTGTTTAAGAATGACGGGGTGGACGTTTTTGTTGTATGGAAGCTCTCAAACAATTTGCCCAGGGAGTTTCCAATAGCACGAATTGATATCTTCCCTTATTTTTCAAATGTTGTTCCCATACAGTTTGCGAAGGTATGTCACCTGAAAATGATGATGGTTTAAACATTTTCCTAGCTTTGAGTATATTTGTTCTCTTTGACTGTAGTAGCTGCTGTTACTGCTACTGATGGTGATGATGGTGGTGGTGGCAGTGATGAAGTTTTATTTTGAGAAAAATCGTGACTGTTGTGATTAAGGTTGTGGGCGAAACCTCTTAATGACTGTCGAAACTCTGTCGAAACTCTAATGAACAATTAATGTGTAACCTGTCGAAACTCTGATGATTGGCGAAAACCCCAAATGCGAAACTCTGCCGAAACTCTAATAAACAATTAATGTGTAACCTGTCGAAACTCTGTCGATTGATTTCTGGAGGAGTTTCTCCCGCAACCTTAGTTGTGATTGTGATGACGTTCCTTATTATCTTGTTCCTTATTGTTGAGATCACTGCTAAGATCCTGAGAAATCACTTTTATTCTACAAGGGGCGATGTCACCATATATCATTTCAATAACATCACCTTCCACCAACAAAGCGGATGGAAAACTATGAACCAAACCATCGTGTACAACTTTTGCCTCAGTCAAAGATGGAACAAATGGTATTTTAATATTCTAAACAATAAAGATGATCAAGATTGGAAATTTTTATAGTATTCATCCTGATGTCCTTTGATTGTTCAATAATGATTTTTGCATGTCTGTAAATTTCGATAGTACCCAAATTTTTTCTTTGGTGTACAAATATCTATTAATAAATACCATCAACAGAATTAAAATTGTTTTGGTCAAAAGCGAAATTGATAAGGATCGTCAACAATCATCCTGTAAATGCAAAAAGCAAACATCAGAAAAGATGAAACTATCGAAAGGATCACATCAATCCTACAAATAAATTCTCTAGCATCAGTACCATTAGAAAAAGAAAAAGTGTTAACAAATAAATTGATAAGATTAATCAAGGAATTGAGAAAAACCATGAACCAAATCAATTGTAATTGGATGAAGCTTCACATATTTTTATTGGCACATAATTTTGATGCTCTTCCAATATTCCATTAGCCACTTTAATAAGTTTACTATAATAATAAAATTGTTATCGATCAGTTACTTAAAATAATAACAAATGGTTTGCTTCCAATACCAATTATTATTAACTCTAATGCTTCGTCGCTTAACAAGCCTTTATTTTTATTGCCTTGACCTGTATTTTTGTTAATGACAACCAAATTGCTAGGAAGATCAGGTACCTCTTCACCATAAGTATAACACCTCATGCTGCTACCTTTGTTTAATTCCAATTCTATCATAACCCTTCTTCACTTTCATTCTCCTCAGTCAGCTCCGTTATCCTTAAAGGAGTATCAGAAGTAACACTTATATCTGAAAAATTACTATCACCACTGCTTTTATTATTATTGAGGACAATGTTGTTGATAGTTATATCATAATTGATATTATCATTAACAAAATTACTATTGCTACTACCGTCATTATCATTGCTGTCCTCAACTATCAAATCTTCTGAAACTATGATTGAACATTGCTTCAAAACAAGTTTTAAATTCTCAATCATCAGGATAGAGACCAAGGTTGGATAATTGAGCTTTAAATGTTTTTAGTGCAAGTTTCTAAAGATTGTTAAGTATCTTCAGGAATTATCAATTGCTCAAGTTTATTTGAAATATTTTTAAACATTAGAGTCTATTTAAAAAAAAAAATTTAAAAAAGTGTACATATTTATTTAAAAAGTTTAATTTTATAAGCTTAATTGATTTGACTACCAAGGTTCCTTGAGGATCTTTGTAAATTTTGTATCAAAGAATCCTTACAGATCCAAGAAATTTAAAAATTTTGAAAGATCTACAAAAACTAAGGATCCTTTAAGGATTCTGTAGCATTTTAAGGAAACCCTGAGGGTCCTTAAGCTCAAAATATTACTGATGTAAGGTTAATACCCTTGGCTTCACGTTTAGCATTTTCTTCTATAATCTGTTTTAGCTTCATAATCTCAGCTTCAAGCATATTTCTTTCTTTTGTTATTTGCTCCAACTCCAGTTTTAATAAATCTAATCCCTTTTGATCTTGCATGTTTGATATTAATTTATACAACTTTATTACAAATACTCGGAAAAAGAATTTTACTGCACACGTCTTAATGCCTTAATTTTAAATAAAAATTATGTAACATCCTGACTAATGGTCAGGAACTCACAGGTCACTTTCACCAAGGAAAATTTAAAAAATCAGAAAAAAGATAATCCAGTTGTTATTAGTAGTAGTAGAAATAATGATTTTTCAAGTAGCAGTAATATTTTATTTAATTGTAATAATGAGGATAATGATAGTAATTGCGAGCCCAAAGAATAGGTGTGGTCATTGAAGCTCACAGTTATCTATCTACATTAGCATGATAATTGATATATTTATTTATATAATGTAAATATATACAGCAATATATAAAAGTAAGTCATAATAGAAATAAAAGCCAAAATAAAAGCCCAAAAACATCTAGAATCTCGTTGTTTCCTATCTTTATCACGAACTCTATCCTCTTCTCTACTTTCCTGAAGATTCCTTTCAAACCCAAGCATTCTCCTATTTAAATCCTTTATTTCCCTCTCTAAACAATCATTCGTCCTCAAAACCTCCTCCTGATTTAATAGTATTTCCCTTCTTCCCTATTCTTCAATTTCCTGAATCTTTAAAACTTCCTTCGAAACCTCCTTACAAATCAACCCCTGAGGACCTACACAAAATCTCTTGATATCTCTAGAATTTGATTCGATGAAGTAAGCAGCAAATTATAACGAGATCCTTGAGCGTGCTGTATAGCCGCATTAGAAAAATAACCATGCTCCGAAATACAGAAAATACCCATATAAGGGAAAATTTTAGTAAATAATTCAAGTAATAGAAAGAATACAGTGCGGATCATCTATACTCAAAAGTTAAAATTTTTGAAATATTATGTGATCCACACATTAGATTTTAAAAA